GTGTCTTACTGAATAGGTGTTTCGTTGGCAATATTTCAAATAAACAGATACACTATAGCAACATTATTTATGTAACCATAAATCAGTGGTATCAACGAAACAACAATACTAACAGGTAAGCAGTCAGTGTTGATGTTTTATCTAGAGTTTTTAATAATTCAATTCTTTTCCTCTTCATACTACATTTTAGACGGGTCAATCGTAGTCAAATTATAGTTGAGATAGAGAAAAAGAGCAGAAACAAAAATGAGAACTGGAATTACAAATGTTACAAAATAAACCTCTTTTTTTTGATCTTCTTCTTTTTAAATCTTTGCACTAATAGGAAAAAACTGCGACAACTGATCAAGCGATCGTTCAACATTATGCGCAAATTCCAACAATCTCGTTTTTTTGCTTCCACTGTACGCTGACGTTATCATAAGAATCCTGAAATACCATAGATTGTAAAATGTCAACAAACGTCTCATGGCTCTACTGAATTTGAAAAAAAAATTTGCAACCATAATAAAATAGAATTATAAAAAAAAAAAACTCATTAGATTCTGCTGTATTCTACCGCTATAAAAGAAAAGTTGTTAAAGAGCTTTGAAATCGCAAGTTAGTATTTCTTTTCTGATAGTAACTATACCTGATTATGCCTAACACTAACAACCTTTATAAATCCTGCAAACTTCACAGCTTTTAAAAACCACATTTCTAGTACAATCCGATCGGCCTAAACTTTAGTTCCTTTAAAATTTATTGCCTGAAAAAATGATTTTTCAAGCAGTTGTTTCCGGTGACCAGATATGATACATCTCATACATTCATCAAATTCCATTAAAAATGTAAAAAAAATTTCCTTCTTTTTCTTTTTTCTTCTGTATGTCAACCGAGTAAATTTTAAAATATTTATATTAACCGTAAAAAAATTTTTTAGTTTTATAGTTTCTGTTAACTTACTCTTGTGGCCCAATTTTATAGAATGCACCATAACCATCTTCACACATCGGTGTAACATATCCAATTGGTCCTTTAACGTCATAACCGCTAAAACTGAAAAAGTAGCACATTGAAGGGGTATCATAACTGGTTAATAATTAAATAAACAGTTGAATAAATAAATAAATAAATA